TGTGTATATAATTTGCAAGTAGACAAAAAAGTCTTATTTAGTGGAGAACTTTAAAAGCCATGGGACACCGATCTTCCCTGCACTGATAATATGGCGTCTCATTATTCATCCACTGCACACATCTCTTAATATAAGCTTGCACCTGATGTGTGATGGTAAAAGGATGGAGGCAGGGGTGAGGAGGTGACACCTCCTGTGGCTCCATGGACAGTGTGGGAAAATCTGCTCTTTGCAAAACAGAACCAAGGCTTCAGCTCTAAACCCAACGCAGTGGAGCGAGTCCTAAGTTTTCTGTGGAAAGCGTAGCCCTAAGCTCTGCCGAACAGAAGGGGGGAGGCAGTAAAAACACAACGGGGAGGGGGCGAGGGAGAGAAGACTACTATCAGGTAGTCAACTACACCTTCTCTCCAAACAGATCAGTTCCAAAAAGTTAAACAAACTAACAAACATAACATCCAAGAGCTCGAAACATTCCAAGTGCTGTGAAGCAGTTACTGTAGGGCCCAGCAGGAGGCGCTCCAGGCATTTTGCCTAAGTCTAACCTTTATTATTTTAATCTCAGTCTGAAATAAGCGAATAACCAATAATAAGAAAGCTGAAATATTTTCTCTAGGCAGGTACCACGTCTGCACCACATTTTGATCCAGCGACCTGATATTCCTCAACAGCTTTACACCAAAACCAGCTGTGCACCGTCAGTAAGTGTCGTATTTTTTTCGTACTGCAGATCAGTGTCTCATGGTAGTTTATTTAAATAGGTCAACAATGTCAGCAGTTTGAAGGTTTTCAAACATAAGGGACAAACACAGAAGTAGGACTGGAAAATTTGTCAGAATTACTGCTCATTAGATTAAGTGTAACTTTCTTTCCTGGAAAGCAGGAGGCAGTGTTTGGAGTAAAAAGAGCTTTTACCATTGGTGTAAAAGCTATGCTTACTTTCTGATGAGTTGGCTGTGTTTTTTTTTTTTTTGTTTTTTTTAATTATTATTGGTTTACTTGTAGAACCCCATAAGGCTCCACCTGACGAGTATTAGCTTAAAATGCAGACTTAACAAACAACTAGGTGTTTCACACGCAGAACTTTGCAGGGTCAGTAGTTCAGAACATAAGTTAAATGGAAGAACTTGAATGTTTCTTAAATTAAGATGCGGACTAGTGTACGAAACAGAGATGAATCCCAACTGTTCTTCCAGTCACTCTTCTAACTGCAATTTTGATGCGTTTGATGTCCTTATTTGCATCACACCACACTCAGTAATGGTGCACAGTAAACACAGCCAAAACAATAAAATCTGCCAGGTTCCTCTTAAATTAGAGGACGATCATTTCCCACATGACCATAAACTGACACTCGTTCACACTGTTTTACTGCTTTTCACAGAGGGGGCACATTTGGCCTTGTCAGGAAAAAAATAATGTCATATGCCAGTAACTCTGTGTCTACGTGTGTGAGAGTGAGAGAGAGAGAGTTAAAAAGCTCACTGCACTGATGGTACACGTGCCTTTGCGGGTTTAAATCTGTTCCTAGCTGATCGCTCCAGATGTCGTTTGACAGTGTGCTGACTGCACTGCATTAACAACACAACAAAGAGCCAAATAAGTGAGAGGCTCAGTGAGGTTCAGCACTGCAGACAATGAACAGTGACAGTGGTCGCAGTTAAAACCAGGGCAGATCAAAATAATTGGATAATGGAGTGCATTTATCATGGAGACACTTCTGAGCCAAGGCAGTCCAAACTCTTCCTTCTCCCTGGTCCACACAAACGTTTCAAAAACATATGTGATCATGGCAACGACGGGGTGCAGGACATTTTTGACATTGTCCTTTTGTCTTTCTGTCTCCTGCCTGTCTGTCAGCGGGGGAAGAGCTCAGTCTAGACCAGGCTGTGAGTACAGACGTGTGACACAAAGGGTGGGCCCGGGCGCAACATTCCTCACGTGGGTGCCATCAGTGACTGGTGACCAGTGCTGTTCATAATGAAGAGCCCCACAGACTCACACGGTCTCGTTGACCCCTCCATAAACAGTGGCTCAAACAAAGGGCCACAGTTACTGATGGGTCAGCTGCTGGACCTTAAAGGGCAAACCCACTATTTGGCAAATAATAAAGTTGATTTACTTTGTTGTGTGAAAAGTACATTTTTAAAAGCTTTGGCAGTTTTTTTTTTTTTACTTGCGTGTTTAGTGAGAGGAAGTGGACGCAGTTTATTACACACACACAAGTCACACAAGGTCATCTTCAGGTAGCTTCACCTTTTACATTCATTTTTAACTGATTTTTAGAACCAACAGTTCCAGGATCTTAGGTTTCATCAAATCTTGGTTAAAAATGTAACTCGTAATTAAGCGTGTTTTCATTTTTTTTAAAGAATAAATCAAATAAATAAATAATTAACTTTTAGTCTCCATTTTGTCTTATTGAAAAGAAAACTCAGCTTTTGAGGACTAAACAGTTTCTTCGTTCTCTTTTTTTTAATTGCAACTAGTCTTTGACAACTTAAATTCTTGACAAACAATTAACAATTTCCTTGGTAGCTTCATGTTGTGCTTTAGAAAGAGAAGCTATTTTTGCCACTTGCAAATTTAAATCATAAATTTGCTGTATTTTTTTAATATATCCATCATTCACCGACTTTTGTTTTCTACTAACTTGCTTCTTGGGAATAGATTTGCCACTGGCCATATTGGCTAATGGTAAATCATTTGGGCTTTTGGGTTTACTTATGGTTATGATTTTTAACTCTATTGGACATGACATCTTGAAACTAATCTATTGATAAATAACAACTTTTAGATTCCAATCAGAGAGGCAGCAGTGAAGCCCACACAGAGCAGTTTTAATTTAAATTCTCTGACCTGTGAAGGACATAATATTCACGTCAATGTTGGAAAGTATTTCCCATTAATTTGGCCAGTATTTGCCATCACTCAGGGTCACTTGATTCCATGTTCTTTTCTGAGTGTGTTTTTAAACCTGCGTTCTCACTACACTCCTGTCTCTCCGGGACTGACACGTCAGATGAGTGTCTGTTAACTCCGCCGCCTGGCTGCTGAAGTGGTGTCGAGCAGCACCATCAGAAATAGAGGTGATAAAGTGCCACCGGAGTAGATGCCAGCATTGCCAATTATTTACTTCTAACACAATGTCACAACACATCAGGATGATTTGACTGGTGACAGTTTTTACAAACATCCTTCTAGAAGATACAATTTCGAGTTATAGTTTGCATATTTCTCTCTTCTCTGTCATTGTTCTATATAAATGATTCCAACATTTGTATAAGTCACAATTAAGAACAGGTTTGAAACAAACATACATCATCATTGCTGTTTCAGCAAATAAAAAACTAAATTAATCATGATATATTTTCGATCATGATTAATCATGACTACAAAATGTTACTAATTTTTCAGGCCTTATCATAGCAAATTCTAGAAGGTAAGGTGAAATTCTTTCTCAATAATGTTTGTCAGACGAACACAGCAGTGATGACACCAATGGCCGAATTTGTTTGAAACACCCCTCAATGGTTTAACCCTGGACCCTCATTGGTTCTCACCCT